TCTACGTTAGCGATCTTATTAGGGGTCTTGCCTACAGTCGCAAGCTCAACTCTAATAATAGAGTGTGCTGCTATAGAGTTCTAGAGTTACTAGAGATATTTTTTATACCTCGACTTAAACTAATACTAGGTGGGATTCTATAGGCACTTAGCGACTTTACTAAGATAATTAGGGATTTTCAGACTATATCTAGATAGGCCTAATACTAGCTCCTTAGACTAACAATGCGATATTCTAGAAGGTAGGATTATCTATTCTCTAGCGGCCGCAGCTGCAGTAGCGGGCTGTATAGATACTCTACACTATCTAGTAGGCTGTAACGAGCCTAGAGACACTCTAATATCTAGAGTACTAGTAATATACAAAGTCCGCGTTATAGCTTATAATTATAGGGCGTAATATAGTTTATTATTTTCACTAGAGGTTTAATGTCAGAAACGTTAAGAGTTTAATAGCGCTAGGACATTCTACCTCTTATAAATAACAATATTTAGTGCTTTAGTCTGGAACTTCCGCGTCAGCAAGTTTCAAGAGTTTAATGACGCTAGGACAATCTACCTCTCGTGAATAATAATATTTAGTGCTTTAATCTAGAGCTTCCGCGTCAGTAAAGCTCAAGAATTCAATAATACTAGGACATTCAACCTCTTAGAAAAATAACAATATTTACTACTTCGGCTAAAAGTTCAATATTAGTAAACATTAAAGCAAGTATTAGAAGTCCAATCGCGCTAGGACATTCTACCTCTTAGAAAGATAATATTTATTACTTTACTCTAGAGGTTTATCTAGAAGTTTAGCGTCAGCAAAACGCTAAGGATTTAACGGTATTAGGACATTCTACCTCTCTAACAATAATAATATTTAGTAGTAGGGGCTAGGAATTTAGTATTAATAAAATATTAAGAGTTTAACTGCGCTAGGACATACTACCGCTTCTAGTCTAGCTGGTGGTTTTGCTAAGTCTAGGAGATATTCTAGAGGAGAGTAAGAAGAGGTGACTTTAAAGAGCTGCCCTTTTTGTACCTATCTAACTATCTTATAGTCCAACTCCTCACCCGCTAACTCCTAAAAGCTGCGCACCCGCTAACTCCTAAAAGCTACGCACCTGCTAACTCCTAAGAGCTACGCGGTAATATGCCAACTCCTAAGAACTATATAGTAATATACTAACTCCCGAGAACTACGTGGTAATATACTAACTTCTAAGAACTATGCGGTAATGTGCTAACTCCTACGAACTATATAGTAATATGCCAACTCTTAAGAACTACGCGGTAATATACTGACTTAGGGATAAAAAATTTGCGTATACAGAGATTCTAAGAATTGGAAAGGTATCTCTTAATAGTATATTAAGCTCTATTAATGATCAAACTCTCTAATAATAGGCTTTCTTAGAATATATAGTTAAGAATAGTCGTCACTAAAGCCTGATGCTCTTAACTACCTCTATTTATTCCAACTACATCCTATCTCGAAAGCCTATAATACCTATAAAGAGACTATCTCCTTTTCTTTTAGCAAGTTCTATAATAGCACCCGACGTATTAGAAGCTTGCGATACCAAGTAGCCTAATAGATGCAAGTAATAATAGAAGCTCCGCAAAGAGGCTACCTAGAAGAAAGAGTATATACATACCCGTTGCTATTAAGCTTCTCCTAACAGTTAACTAGTACCACAAAATCGCGACCTCCCAAATAATATTAGTATAAGTAGCTCTATTCTCAATATGAACTATACTAATAGCTCTAGTGTATCTAATCGAGACACTCTAGAGGCAGCACCCCGCGCTAAAACCACTTCGCGCCCTAATAAGAACGGGAATAGTCTACGCGCTAATAGCTATATTAATAACGCCGTAGTCAACGAAGGCTTTAGAAATAATAAGGACACTCTAGCAGTCGAAAATCACGGTAGTAGCAGCATAATCTTTAGGTTTTTCGAAGATTACCTCAATAGTCTAGAGGCAAGCAATCACATTAACAACTACATAATCTTTAAGTTCTTCGAAGATAGTAGCAACACTACGGAGACCAGCAACCATATTAATAGCAGTATAGCTATTGACGAGGATTAGGATATTGCGGATACTAGCACTTATAGCGACGACAGTATAGCTATTAACAAGAATCGGGACATTGCGGATGCCAGCATCTATAGCGACAATAGTATGGCTATTGACGAGAATTAGGACATTACAGAGGCTAAGGACCACGATGAAAGTCCCTTCTACTATAAGGCGTCTGAGAACAACCCGGAGCCTTATAACTACAATAATAATAGCGTACTCTCTAAAGAATTTAGAGATAATTAAGTTCCTAGATACAATAGAGATACTGAGTTTTAGACTAAGTTAAGGACACTTCTCGGCTATCTATAGAATTTAAGATTAGCAGCCGAGAAGTAGGCCTTTGAATCCTTATTTAAGAGTCTCGATATTATCCCTTAGGAGTTAACACCTACAACAGCTAACAATATCGCTAACAGTCTACAAGATCGATGCATTACATATTATTTAAGGAAAGCGGGCGTTAGGTACGCTAAAGTCGCTTTTATATAGCACTATCTTCAGTGCAACAACCCCTATATATTTCTACTTAAGCTAGAAAAGCTTACTATACTTAGCTATTATATTATCACCACTAAGCAAGACTGGATCCAACAAGTTATAGTATATCGAGAAATAAAGACAAAGTTCTCCCATCTATATTACTAGAGTTTCTATCGTAATCTATTCTATATTATACTAGAATTAGCAGCAATCAACTAGCAGCGCAGCGCATGCGGTAGAGTTACTAAAAGTATAGCATCTATAGGGTAGTCTATCCCCACTACATACAGTCTCTACTATCCACTATATATAACAAGTTTAGCTATAAAGAGCAACAAAGTAGCAATACGTGACGCGGTTAGTAGTAAACAAATATCTTATAAATAGTGCTAATATAGAGGTAGGCTAAACTAGCAGGAGATTATATACTCTATTAATACTAGATGTACTAAGAGCTAGTGGAGTTTTTCCGGAATATACTACTAAAGCATATCTATCAGGTTCGCAAATAACATTTCAAGGATAGAGCCTCTAAAGCTAAAGTCCTATAGATACACACTAAACTAGAAGCTTCTAGTATCTCCAAGTTTACGTTACCTATAGCCGAGAATACCAGCAACTCTAAGGAGAGCGTCAGCCTACAAACAGTCCCGCTAAAGAGGAAAAGATGCCTTTGCGTATTCTACAAAATCCGTCCCACAAGCATATCATAGCATCTAGAAGAAGACTATATAGCCAACATCTACCTAGGATGCAATACTCGACAAGATCCCACCGATCTATTTAGGCACTTATGCCCAGCAGCATGTTACCTAATATATAGGGATATTTCTTTCTTTCTAGTAGAGGTGCGAACCTATAACTATCCCGTAAAGCCTCGGAATTACAATAACGATTATAGCTTCCTAAGCTATTACGAGTTTTACTATAATATCCCTAGTGCTCACCACGTATATCTAGCGATAACCTGCCGAAACTACACAGAGTATATCGCTAAGGACCACACAGAGCTAGGCGTGCACATAAAAAACTACCACTACTACAATTATTACAAGGAAGAACCCTTCGCAGACAGAGACAGTCTACTCGAGCACCTACCGTAATATCTCTACCGCACTTGCTATAGTCGGCAAACTCCTCTTCCTAAGAAAAGTGTACGTTAGTATGCATGCAATCACTTTCTCCGGTTAGTATAGGACATTAGGCTGCACGATATTACTACGAGAAGTGGACTATAGAGGAAGAACACTAACCTTGTATCGGCCAATACAATACGTTGTTGGATAAGTGAGCGGGTGTATAAGGGAACTTAATATCAGGACAGTAGAGATAGGCATAACGGGTAGCTACTGTATGGCTTAAACCACTATAGAGCTATAGCTTGTAGAATTCTAAGTAAGTAGCTGCAAAAGATTGACTACATCGTGTTACAAACCAACCTTTCTAGTATCTTAATAACTATTACTATTATGGTCATCACTTCTACTCCAACTAGTACTCCTCTTACACCTCCACCTACACCTATCCTTATTACTATACACACCAATATTCCCCTTTAACGGGATGTGGAGCTGTGGCTTGGAGGGTTCAAGGACACTGCTCGTCAGGTTTGTCTGCATCTGGTTGTAAGAGTTTCTGTGACGGGATCGGTGGGTGAGCAACTCATGGTGGGCCCCGTGTCGTGAGGAAGGTTACTAGATCAATGGATCGTCGTAGTCATGTGGATGGTGCTCGAAGTGCGAACGTCTGGTCAATGCATGTGTTTGTGGATTGTTCCTTGACCCAGGCTAACTGTGTCATTGAGGATTCCATAGCCATGTACCTCCGTACCCAGGCAGTGAAGGAGGTCCTTTTGGAAGCGTCAGTCCAATGTTTCTGCGACGAACTCCAGATGGCGTTGGATGCACCGTCCCATCAATGTGAAACTGACCCAAGAGATGGCGTCGCTTCAGCCCTGCGCTGCAATTTCCCCCAGCCGAGAGCTTCACGTCCCCCAGCTCACAGGCCCCCAAGCTTCAGCTCAGTTTCACTTCGACTTCCTCACTGCCTCCCGCAGCCACTCGCCCTCTCGTCGCTCATTGCTGCTCATCTAGCCATTGCGCATCCACTCTTTACTTAGCCTATCCGGCCAGCTTGCTGTTGCCGCCTTTCTTTCGTCTTTCATCCACGCTCATTGATCCTGCAATCGCGTGTTGTTGTTGACTGCGGGTGCTCTTCTCGTTGCACCGCATTCCTGACTCCCAGTGCCGGCCACTCACGCTCTCATTCCACTCCTTCGACCTTCGTCACCCGCGACAATAACCTGCTCGCGAGCCTGGTCAGCCGCGCGCAGGAACGACTCTAGCCTACATCCGCCTGATAACACAGCACTAAAACCACACCCACCAACTCTCAACTCAGATGACTCACCAACACCGCCGTTTGACCCACAGACACGTCGACAAGATGCCCATTGCACTTCAGAACCGCGATGCTGCCCCCCAGGACGCTAGACCTATGCAAACCATCGTTTCGGTCGTCTATGTAACCGCTGAGAAGACATTCTCTGGCGAAGCCGTGTATGTCACAGCAGACATGCCCGACACCAGGCCCTATCGCTCTCTGCCTGCGGACCCAGATTTTCCAGGCGCCATCATCCCGCGCCCTACCCAGACCGGGGAAGAAGAAGAGGCTTCAACGACTGCTCCACGGACCTCATCGAAACCTCCATCTTCCACAACACTTCCGACGACTACCTTAGCGGCTTCCCTTCCCCTAATATCGAGCACGCTGGAATCGTCGGGTCTGTTGACGTCGACTCTTCCAACTAGTGCGGCTGCCGCGGCTAGCACTGAGAATGCACAGCCGTCCTCGGCATCGAGCGAAGGCATGTCGGGCGGCGCAAAGGCTGGATTGGCTTTGGGAATCTTGATTGCCATTGGCGCGGTGCTTGCCTTGGTCCTACTCTTTTACCGCCGGAAGAAGCAGCAGAACAAATCGCGAGAGGTGGAGGATGAGAAGTTCGACATGAGTCCCGCCCTCGCCCCTCCTCCTCCACCGGCTAAGAACACTGCTGCCAGTATCCGAACTGCCAGGACAGCATCAACAGCTCCGCGATTGAGCCTTCGGCCAGTCACCGAGTTCCTACCCAACCTAGCAGGAGATGGCAGGAGCACCAGCAACAAGCAGGAGATGGTCGTTGCTCCGGGACCATCTTCAAGCGCCGATGCCAACGGCTTCCTTGCACCAATGGCAGCAGCAGCAGGCGGTAGCGCCTGGGAGCGTCCAGGAGCTCACAACCATCCTAACGATCCCGCCAACCCATTTGGAAACCATGCGGAGACTATTGAATCGCGTAGTCCTCCCGGACCAGCCGAAATGCTCGCATCGACCACGCCGGCCAAGCCTGAAATCATCTCACCTGTTTCGCCTCTTGAGTCAGAGAATTCGGTCCCCTTCGGTGCTGTTGCTGTTCGGGCTCATGTTGCACAAAATCCTCTCAGCGGGCAACGAAATGGTGCAGGCCCGGCAGAGATGCCGAATCCTGCACCCGCGCAACCGACTGAGCTCCCTGCTGCTCCCATACCTTCTCCTCCGGTTCTTGCGGCAATCCCTGCCTCACCCGTTCCCCCGCCTAGCGCAATGAACACTGTGCATCGCGTGCAGCTGGATTTCACGCCCAATATGGATGACGAGCTTGACCTGCGCGCGGGTCAACTTGTCAGATTACTTCACGAGTATGATGACGGATGGGTAAGACATCACGCTCTGTACTAGGTCACTTGATATACTGACCTCCCACTCAGGCCCTCTGCCAACGCATGGATCGCTCTCAACAAGGTGTCGCCCCTCGGACTTGCTTGTCGAAGCATGCAGTGAAACCACGCCCGGCCAGTCCAGCTCAGGGCCGCCCGGGAGGTGCCTCTCCTCAGCTGCGCGGCCCTCCTAGAAGCCCTCTACCTCTCTCTCCGCCAAATGGTCGCAACTCACCGGGTCCGTTTGCCCGACAAGCTGGCCCCGTGCCGCCGTCTGTCGGACGCAACCTCCCTAGCCCCTTTGCTGAACAACCTCGCTCGGCGTCTCCAACCGGCGGCCGTGGGCGCTCCCAGAGCAACGCGGCTTATCCTGGAGCCCTTCGGTCCATGTCGCCCGGCCCATATGGTGCGGGTCCAGGTCCTTCGAGGCCGCAGCCGTCGCGCCGCCGGTCTAACTCCGCCAGCGGGGTGACAGGTCTCAGGACGTCCCCTCCCGGTCTGAGCCCCATGAATCCTGCCGCCGCCGGTACTGTGCCACTGCGCAAACCCGTGCCTGGCCAGGCTATATGACTGGTCTGACAGCGCTTGCGGGCTGCCCCTCTGATGTAACGAGACATGGCTCATCCAACGTGGCGCATCTTATAACCCGATCCGACCTGCCTCCGCCACATCTCAATCCCTGGTCTTAGACTTTGGCTTCGTTTCTCTGTGGAGCGCGCTGGCACTTCTGCGGCTCCTTCTGCTTATACCCCCTCTTGTTGATTCTTTTTGGTCTTGATGTTGAGAGTGCCCGGCTTTTCTCCCATGTCTGCCCGGGGTAATTTAGCGATCTTTTCGCATTTCCAGAGGAACTAGATGTGAGTTCATGGTGGCAGTGGGGTTTAGACAGGGTTGGAGAGACGAGTGTATAGTATCTGCATTGTTCAGGAATCAACAGCTTCACATCTTGGTCTCAGAACGACATTGCTATTCCTAAACTGCCTTGCCAACGAGAGCCATGCAATAGTGTGAAAGCATTTCCTTCCCCTCTTCGGAAGATTGTGCAAACCTAGATATAGTAGCGTAACACGAGTAACCAAGCACACCAAGTACTGATCCTGCAGGTGGTAGAGGGTTGTAGCCTTATCGATAGCAGTAAACAAGGGGGTGTGAGGCTCCGCTGGGCCAAGCAACTGAACCTTATTACCACTGCTCTGTAGTGGTAGGCCATCGATCCGCGATTTATGGAACAGTCAACCGTGGTGTAGCGTCTCTTCGCACTTTCAGAAACCTTTGATGGCCATTTTGAATCTGGGGTGTGTCTCTGCACGCCGTTCTAGGACTGCCTCGCACCACGCTCCTCTCGCCGCGAACAACTATTCCTGACCATCAGTATACCACCCTACTGCACAACCTGCACACCCTGTGCTCTGTCACTGCCAACTGTGCCTAGGTAATCAGATTACATCGACCCACACTCTGCAGCAATGAGCAACAACGCACCTTCCCAGGGGCCGGGGCCTCAAGGGCAGCAACCGCAAGCCCTGATCAAAGTCCACCAGATCCAGAGCATGCCGCACCTGGACGAGACCGCAAAGCAAAGATACGCAGTCGGCATACAACGACTGTACACAATACTGCACGACACACCACCGGATAGCGACGAGCACAAACAAGCCTATACCAAACTTCTGGAGGCCTCGCAGAAACTGAGGATGCAGCTCCGGTCGTATCAGGACAACCTGAAGCAGCAACAACAGCAGCAAGGCGCCTCTCAAGGCGGACAGCAGGCAAGCGGTAGACCACAGAGTGGAGGGCAGTCAGCAGGGCCGCAGCAACAGCCCCAACCGCAGCAGCAGCAGCAGCAGGGCCAGCCGCAACAACAGTCGAGCAGTGCTCCTCAAACGCAGCACATTCCTCCGCAGATCATGCACCATGTTCAGGGCTTCAACTTTGTTTTACCGCCCGAGCTGGTAGGAGGAACGCCGGAAGCGAACCAATACTTGGCCAACGTGAAGCAGAGTTACTTGCAAGCCTTGGTGAAGCAGGAGCAGGCGAGAGCAGCGATAGGGCAAGCCACCAAGGTGGTAAACGAGCGGAAAGCGCAGGGTCAGGATATTCCGGCCGACATCATGGCGCAGAAGGCCCAGTTTGAGCAGTCGTATAATAAGAGCAAGACGTTTGTCGACGAGATTCGACAGAAACAGGCGCTGTGGAAGAGTCAGCGAGAACAGGGGCAGGGAACTGGTTCGCAGCAAGTGAAGACCGAGGGAGGCGGCAACGCACCTAATCCCGCACCCGCTCCGCAGTTCCAGCTACAGATGCCGCCGCAACGCCAGCACTCGCAGGGTCAAGTTGCTGCTGCCACTGCCGTGAATCCCGCTCTTGACGCTGCGCGAAACCAGTCGAACGCGGGCCGCACTTCACAGAGTCCGGCTACTTCTGGCCCACCGCAGCAGCCACAGGCACAAACGCCCGCGTTCCAGCAGCAACCAGCTCCTACCTCGGGCGCTCCTTCCATGCAAATTCCCCAGCAGCAACCTCGGCCGCAGGTGAATCCACAGCAAGCAGCGCATTTGAATCCCGTGCAGCAGAACTCGCCTCACTCGCAAAATCCACAAGGTCCGCCGATACCTCTAACGCACCAAGCTGCGATACACAGCAGCAACGCGCAACGCTCGTACTCGGGCCAACAGCAAGGCGGATCGCAAGCTCCAAGCGCGTCCAGTTATCACGGGCTGGGAAACCGCGAGCAGATGAACAACCCAAAGATGCCCATCCCGAAAACCCTCAGCGTCGTACCGCCTCAGGCTGTGAACATGGGTCCGGCAAGGCCGACGATGGGAGGGCCGAGCAACGGCGTTCCTGGAATGATGGGCCAACCAGTCATCAACAAGCCCGCAGGCTTTGTCATGGAAGGCGAAGCGCGTAGCGTGCTCACCAAAAGCAAGCTTGATGAGCTCGTTCGTCAGGTGACTGGGGGAGGCGACGGTGAAACGCTCGCGCCAGAAGTCGAAGAGGTGCGTCAGTCACGTGTCCGCTCTTCACAGCTGCGCGCTTTCGTGTGACTTTCGTGTGACGCGATCAGCCTAGCACGTGATCAGACTAGCACGTGATCCAGAAAGCCGCCATCGCCATCCACTGACGTCCCCCGCAGATAATGTACCAGCTCGCAGACGAGTTCGTCGACGACGTCGTCACCAGCGCCTGCCGCCTCGCGAAGCTGCGCGACTCCTCCACCCTCGACATCCGCGACCTTCAGCTCATTCTCGAGCGCAACTACAACATCCGCATCCCTGGGTATGCCTCGGATGAGGTGCGCACTGTGCGGAAGTTCCACCCGGCGCCGGGTTGGACGCAGAAGATGAATGCTGTCCAGGCCGCGAAGGTCATGGGCGGCAAGACTGATATCTAGTCTCTTGCCTTGGCTGACTGGAAGCTTAGGATACTGATATTAAAGTTGCGATACTTGCGGCGCTTACCGAAGAGGCGATGCGTGCGGCGCTTGCTGCAGGTGCGATGCGTGAGGCGCTCAGTAATGGGTTCTGGCATGATGAAGCGGGTGTCAAGGTTGAGGAGACGCGACTCAAGGCTGAATGGACGGCTAGCCCTGAGAAGACGGCCCCTAGCCCTGAGCAAACACCGATCAAGGCAGGAATGAAAAGGGTGAGGTTCAACCTGAAGGAAGAACAAATGGAGCCAAAGTTCGAAGAAGTATCCCCGAAGGCTAGCCAAGACCAAGACCAAGGCTAAGCTCGAGCGCAAGTGTTAGGGTGGGATTGCTGGACGATTTTATGTCTGCATTTCTATCCAAGTCGCAATCAATGGATGGCGCGTGGCGTTTGGCAGGCTCTGGGTAGCAACGGCACGGCTGTTGTTGTAGCACTCTTATAACATTGGTCTGAGGACGCAATATCCCCTTTGGGAATCTATGTTTGCAAAACTCCTCTGGCAGTGTTGAACCGCAGTGGATGAGTGATGGATCAAGCTGACAGCAGTCGCCTGACAACGCATCGAGTCTGTCACGAAGCTCAAGTGTTACGTCACAACCACGAGCTCACTCAGGCCCATCTGAAATACAGCTCACAACCTAGGCAGACATAGACGGCTTGTGCACCATGGTGTTCTTCCCCGCAACACACAATGTCTCCAGACAGGAAGGACGGCCGGCAGGACGGCAACGTTCTCCTTGTTAGCTACGTGGGCAGAGATTGTTCAGGAGAATGCAAGTTTCGGGTCGAAGCCCAGGAGTTTGGCAACATTGAGAGCCTGCGGAATTCCTACGACAGCCTGAAGTCCCACGACCAAACAGCGCTCCGAGTCATTCATGTCCAGGACGCGCCATGGGCCGTAAAGCTCTTGTTGAAGAAGTTCAACATCGATCACTGCAATGATCCAGTAGGCACACGGTTTGCGCGGTGGGCGCGCTACGAGAAGCCCCAGCAGCGTGCAGGTAAACCGATTCTGAAGGGTGAGACTTTCTCTCCACAGCGGGATCCTTCGCGAGACATCAGGCGCACGTCGTTTGGCTTGGATTACCTCAAGCATTATCCGGCGGACAGCGTCCCTGATTCGGCGGCTGCCGACAAGATGATGGAGCTGAATCATTACGACGCTGCTGGCGCGCCGGCTCATGGATACGACGTTTTCGTTCAGCGGCTAGCCGTCTATATCCAGCATAGGGAAGCACTAACGTTAAACGTGCCTCTCACGGCTCCTGACGCAGGGAACCCTTGCTATCACCACGGCGCCGAGGACAGGGGTCTTGAGCACTTAAACAAGCAGCACGATAGCGGTAGCGCTGGTAAAGGCGGAAGGTTGGCGTCCGTTGCAGAGGTACTAGTAAGTGTCGCCTCTCCGAAATTTGCTCTGCATGAGCTTCTCTGAGTTCATTGTCCCTTTCGGCCGCACCTTGACCCACTAGATACGGTGCTGATCTTTTGGATAGCCTGTACAGCCCATGCCAGACGTCAAGTCCTTCGACAACGGCAGTGTCGTAATCATCTTCGAACACTCCCAGTCCAGGGCCGTAGAAGACACCCTCATCGGCGCGCGTCAAGAGACCGAATCACGCTGGCAACGGCTCACTCTCAGCCTCCCACAAGGAGATGCGGTCAACGACGAAAACCTGGCTCTTCAATGCATGGATCTGGTTCTCTGCGACATCTTCAAGGCTCTAGCTAGCGCTTGGGAGCGGTACCTGTCCAGTTGCGGCACTCATGTGTCCATACTCGAAGACAAGGTCTACGATTCTCCAGCTGATGAGAGCCGCGCTCCTGAGCTCTGGGCAAGCCACAGCCTGTGGCGGACGGTGGAGAATCTTATGCGCATCCACGTCGATACCGTTAAGGAGATGAGGATGCATCTGAGAGAGCTTGCTGGTGAAGAGATCAAGGAACAGTGGCTGGGGACTGTGCAAGACGACTTCGAGAAACTTGCCAATCTGGTCGAAGACAAGCTTCTCAAACCCACCGACAATCTGAGGGAGCTGATGTACCAGTCGGTCCAGATCCGAGATTCGCGGCACAATCTCGAGCTAGGAATGAGCATGTGGCGCCTCTCGTGGATCACATTCATCTTCTTGCCACTGACGTTCCTCGTCGGCTTCTTCGGCATTGACCCCTTCAGGAGGGATCCGAGTGTCAAGTGGTTTGTTATTTTCATACTCCCACTAACGGCAATAGTCGTGGCGCTCTGGTTCTCCTTCAAGTACTCCTCCGCCGCCCGCATCGGACATCCCACGCGCCGCGGGGTCTATGAGCATGAGTTCCATGCTCTGTCCAATGCTTATCCGCAACTATGGTCGCGTGCCGGACCGCGTACGGACGTCAAACCGCAAGGTTTCTCCAACAAGATGAAGTGGCGCTTGATCCTAAGTTGGTACGCACCAAGCAAAACCACTCTTGTACCCAGCTACGAGCCCAGGGAAGAGACTGGGGCCTGGTCGCGCGTCAAGCGGTATCTGGTGTGGCATTGGCTCGGTCAGATCAAGTTTGCAACGGCTTCTTCTATTGCAAATCTAGAACTCGAAGAGGAAAGCATCACCGGAAGCGATCTGAATACCAATCACGTCCTCGATCTTTCCGTCACGCCTCTTATGGCAACAGAAGCACAGCCGGCAATTGCGCGATCCACTACGCCTCCTTCTCGACACCTCCGTCCGGCATCGGCGTCGTCAGGTCCTTCGCGACCAAGCAGCACGACCAACAGCGATTTCAAAATAGCAGAGGCTAGATCTGACGTGTCGAACGATGAGATACTGAAAAGATGACCAGGTGCGGATGTTATGCAGAGATAGACCGTCTCGGCAGCTCCTTGCTGGGACTGGAATACGAGCTCTAGGCACATGTTCCAAACCACAATGTGGTATTTATGAACCTCTATCACTTGAGCTATTCTAGCGCTCTTCACAGCGGATTCGGACAATAGACTCCGGTTCGAGGGTGTAGGTAGTTCTTATGCTCTGCCATACTTAGGAAGCGTTCCTTGTGCATTTTATCCGATTGTGATAAAAGCTCCGATACATCACAATGTGCTTTTGGCTGCAGGTCTCGTCCTTCCTGCTGAAGTCTCAGGCTTACGGAATGCCTTGTACAGCTGTGTTGATATAAAAATATATCGCTTGACCTTTATCGATAGCTCGAACTGATACTGACGTCATCACCAATTAGCAGCACTACACGCGGGACAGAGGGGATTCTCGGCCACGGCTTCACTGTCCGCAGTGACATCAGAATCGTCATGATGGATCTTAAGACGCTATTTGGCCCTTTTCCTTTGGCTGTACGAACACGCAGACGCAGTCAGAAAGACCTCCCGCTCCCCGTTCCCCTCAACGTATGCTCCTTGCGACAAGACCTCTCCGCAACTTCAAGACTCCCCGTTTTGCGCCAATTGGACATTCATTCTCTCGAACAAGAAGACAACTCGCAACCATGCCTCAGCAAGACGCCTCGAACACGACCTCAGGCATCCAGCTCTACACGGCGGGTGAACACTTCGTATCCTTCTCTATTCATGATCATCTTACTAACTTCTTCACATCGCATAAGGCACTCCAAATGGGCACAAAATCAACATCCTCGTCGAAGAGCTTGGTGTCGACTACACAGTCCACAAGATCGACATCGCGAAAAATGTACAGAAAGAGGACTGGTACCTGAAGATCAACCGTGGGTAGCTGTAACCCCTTCGCCCTTATACTCCTGCGGGAAAGAGAAAGAAGAGAAAACGCAGCCGGCGCAAACGCGTCTTGGTCTGACACTCCTTAAAGCTAACGGCCGCATCCCCGCCATCGTCGATAAGAACGAAGGCCGGAACAAGCGCGTCTTCGAAGGCGGCGCCATCATGCTCTACCTCTGCGAACGGTACGATAAGGAGCATAAGATCAGCTTCCCTTACGACTCAGACGACTATTGGGAGATGGTCGAGTGGATCGTATGGATGCAGAGCGGTATCGGGCCCATGCAGGTTAGTCATACTTGATTTTGGCACTACATGGCACCAGCTCGAGTTGACGAGTTAACGACGAACCAAAGGGCCAAGCAAACCACTTCTATCGCTACGCCCCCACCAAAATCTCCTACGCCATCGAGCGCTATCAAACCGAGACGAAACGGCTCTACCGCGTCCTGGAAGACCGGCTGGTTTCTCGCGCCCCTGACTCCGACGGCAACCAGTGGCTTGTGGGAGGGAAGTACACGATTGCCGACCTGGCGTGCTTCAGCTGGGTGAACTGGGCCGAGTGGGCTGGCGTGGACACGAAGCCGTTTCCCAAGGTCGAGAAGTGGATGCAGGCGATTGCGAGCAGGCCGGCGACGCAGAAGGGGGTTGATATACCGGAGAAGTTTGAGATGAAGGAAGCGATGAAAACCAAATCCGGGGAGGAGGAATATGCAAAACATCATTCCAACTGGGTTATGAAGGGGATGGAGGATGAGAGTGGGAAGCATTGAGCAGAGTGTAGACTATTTGAAAAGCTCCTATTGAAGAATTACTCTATTCGTTTCGCGTCGGTAACCCAAGAGCGGTAGCGGTACGTGACGAGAAGATTTTGCTAGCCAGAGCTCGGTCACGGAGGACGATTGCAGTGACAGCACGTGGTGTGCTGATGTGACGTTACTCATACCTAGTAATAGCGACATGGCCTCCGTGTCCTCCAGTACTTGAAGCTTGCCTGATGGCGGAGTCGTAGAGCAGTGCTGAGGGATCCCGTCATCTGTCCTACTCCCTCACTTCCCACAGCCTAATCTTCCCCTGCTCATTCGCCACAGCAAGCACCAATTCCGCCTCCCTTTCATTCCCAATCTCACCCCATGCAACCGCCGTGATCCGTCCCAACGGCGTCTTGCTCGTCGGCCAATTCTTGTACACCGTACAACTAGGCAGATGCACAATCCTCATCGCGTCTCTCTTCCAGCGACTCGCCATCGCCAGCGCCTGTCCATCCGGCGAGAAAGCTAGATGAGACGTCGGCGTGGTCAACTGCTCAAACGTCTTCGTCGGTTCCGGCGCAGACGGTATACCGCCGTTCGCCAGCTCTCCATCAGCGGCGGTAGGTTGGGCAGTGCCGCTCCACGCGCGACGGTCGTAGATATTGACCACACCGCTTGAGCTACCGACCGCGACCCAGCGATCTCCGCCTAGCCACCCCTCACGCCCGCTTCGTCCACCGAGCGCGAGGACTGTAGTACCGACAGCGCCTTCATCGGTCCAGCGCGCGATGATCCTTTGTTCATCAACGCTCCACTCGCTGATTTCCCCATTCTTGCCGGCGATAGTGAGGCCCTTGCCATCGGCCCACCAGCAGAAGTCCGCTATGCCGCCTCGGCTTTCGACGCGAGCTTGCGCGGTCCATTGAAGAGTCGTGGCGTCGAGGATGTTTACGACACCGCCACCCTTTCTGGCTGAGCCGAGGAGCGCGAGGAGGCGACCGGAGGGGGAGAGCTTGAATGTTTCCATTGAGCGCTGCTCGTGCTGGTGGCCGTATATGCGGCTTGTTTTCTCGATTCGGCCGGTTGAGAGGTCCCAGATGTGGAAGTAGCGGCGGCGGGCGGATAGGAAGACTTGTGAGGACGCTGGGGACGGGTGGAAGGCAGTGGTTGTGAGAGGGGTGCGTTTTATGTGGAGAGATGTGAGGAGCGGGTTGGGGTTGGGTGGGTTGGGGTTTATATGATGGAGGTAAAGAGTTGAGGCGGGCCCGGAGGAGAGGAGCAGTGGAAGGGTGGGGTGTATGGACAGAGATGTGATTGCAGACTGAGGCGACGATTAGCCCTGATTTGAAGAAGTTGTGGGGAAGGTTCTGGGGCTTACGGGCTGTGTGCCACCAATGTCTTTTGTACGCTGGATATCGATTACCCCTGGTCGCAACTTTCGCTTTCTGCTCCCGCCGTGCTCGGCCCTGCGAGTGAGACTGTCGGCATCCTTGAGCAGTTCAGCGAGTGGTTGCACTGTGAGCTCGTCGTCCATCTCCGCTTCGTCAGCTGAAGAGCTATCTTCAGCGGAAGAGTTCCCTGCGCCGGAAGCGGTGCGCCTCTTCTTCTTCGGCGGTCGTCTTGCCTGTGGGTTTGCCCACTCAGGAAGCGGGTACAGTCGCTCGAACCTAGCATTCTTAGCGACCTCACGCCACCATCGAGCTCATGTATGCGCTCACTGTCTGCGTAAACGGCTTGCATACTCCCTGCCGTTGATGACATCCTCTTCTTCGGTGCGCCTCAGCTTGCGCAGCCGCGGCAATGATGCCAGCGACACGGTCATCCGTTCATCATCGCTGTCTTCCCATGCTGGCGGTTCTCTGCCGTGGACTAGGGCGTCATCGTCGTCTGAGGGAGGTTGAGCTACAAGAGCTTGGCGGGGAACGTCTGCTGGTCCTGTGTCAAGAAAGAAGAGCTGCGGCGTGTCGCGTCAGTCGACATGGTGGGCGCATCTTCTTGCAAGATGGCACAGACTCACATCTGCATCGGCAATGTCTGCTAGCCCGTCCCCTCCCGCCTCGTCGTCCAACGTCGGAACTTCGCCCACCATCCACCCTGCCTGAGGTTGTGCGAAGCTTCTTATGCCCTCTCTGAAGCCTACAGCGTCCCCAAACACCAACTTCTCCAGCTCTTCCTCTGTCGAGTCTTTCTCGATATCCGAAGCGCCATCCATTCCCACATCGTTCAGGTCCAGGTCCAGGTCCTGGTGCTGGTGCTGGTGCTGGTGCTGGTGCTGGTGCTGGTCCTGGTCCTGGTCCTGGTCCTGGTCCTGGTCCTGGTCCTGGTCCGGGTCTTGGAGCTGCTCGAGTGGCTTCGGTCTGTTCGTCATCTTTGGAGGCCTCTGGGGCGCCATGGCAAGCATGCTGTTGCGCTTGCCTAGGTATTGTCCGGCGTGTTGAGACTCCTTCAAAAAGCAGTGATCCAACAAATGTCCTTGAAGATAGGTAGTCGAGTAAGGGTATGAATTTTTGACCGGGATGCGCGCTGGTCGCGGTACGGAGGTACCTTAGGGCTTAGCGAGCCCGGCGCATCTCACCTCGCGGTCACGTCAATCGTTTTCAGCCAACACCACATCTCCCAACTGCATACCCGGCAGCTGCCGACTCCCCCCCATCCCCCACCGCACCGCCATTCAATGCCGTCGTTCACCTCCATGAACGCTGCCAAGCCACAAATGGGCAACACCTCGTCCCAAGTCGCACGGCAGTCGGACGGCGAAAGCACGCACGGTAAGAACGAGAATTAAATCCCGTGTCTCGATACCTACTAGCTGAGGACTGACGGCTTTGTAGATGATGGCACCGATATCACGACTGAAGCGCCGAGAGGCTTACTGTCAAGTTCCTATCCTCCACAACTCCTTCACAACACCGACAGCCACACCGTATACGAAGATGACCGTGCTGCCTCGTCGCAGCTAATCGCCGAAAGCCAGCACGACCCGCCTGTAATCACACCAAAGACGAAGCGCAGGAAATCCAGCATCGCGAGTGTGCAGAAGAGCAGCGGAAGTAGGAAGAAGGAGAAACTATCCAAAACGCGTGACAGCCTGGACAGGGTTGAAAAGGGATCTAAGAAGAAGTCAAAGAAGCGCGATTCTGGCGTGAAGCGCGTTACAACGCGTAAATCCCCACCTGAAGCTGCCGAGGAAGGGCGCAACCCTACAGAAGCCTTGAAGCTCCACAGTCAAGGAGCGCTGGCCGCGCAGACTCCGAGTGCAACGCCGCAGAGCTTCTCACATGTCGCGGCTTCACCGGCCCAGTATGCTACGCAGACCGCTGCCGATAACACCCTCTCTAGATCAGCCACTCGTCGTGCAAGTTCAGCCTCCAAGAGCCAGCTTGAGCACGTAGAACCTTCCCTTGCGAGTCTACAGACGCCGAAGACTGCTTCGGAAGAGAAGAAAACGAAGAGGCGCAAGAGAGACTATGCAGGGGAACACACCATCACTCCTACGAAGGAGCAACGCAGAGCTACGGATGAGGGGGGTTCTGTTCATGAAGCTGCGCAAGAGATAGAGGAAACACCTTTCCCAAGCACAGTCGGTCTTCCAGCCACTCCGAAGCCGCAAACATCTAGTCGCAAACGCAAGACGCCCACTCAACACGTCACTCAGCCAGAAACTGTTGAGAGGCCACCCGGGAAACTCCCAAAGAAACGGAAACGCGATTCGACTGCATCTGTGATCATTGCCGAGGTAAAATCGGACCCTGTGGAGGAAACATCCCAGCCTACCACGAAGAGGCGGAAACGGCGCTCCGGTGATGATACGTCTCACGACAACAGCAAAGTCAGGGAAAGGCGAAAGTCCGCTCGAAGAGCCGAGACTGTTCAACCAGTGGAAGATAACAGTACCCTATCAACAGAGGACCGAGGAGCAGCATCGCCAGAGGTCGAGGACGAGTCCATAGAGCAAGAGTCTGCGTCAAAAGAACGCGCCAGGGTGCCACCGCCCGCAGGTATGCCTACCAGCGGAGCCTTCGAAAAGCCCGAAGTGACCCGCATCGCTCAAGCAGTCGAGGCCTACTGCTTCAACCACAGCCTTTCCCAGAACGAGTTCAACGACATGATTCAAAGCGGCAACGTCAAGGACTTTGCAGAGATGTGGGCCGACATTTGTGCAGCCGTGCCCTACCGCACCCGTCAGAGCGTTCACCGCTTCTGCAAACGCCGCTACCACAACGCCAAGCGTGGGAAATGGGAGTCGGACGAGGACGATGCGCTAAGGAAGGCGTATGAGCTGAAGCCAGACCGGTGGAAGGAGATTGGCGCAATGGTAGGCAGACTGCCCGACGACTGTCGCGATCGATGGAGGGACTACGTCATGGTTTCTGGTGTCAAGAACAGAGACTATTGGACGGAGGAAGAGAAGAACACGCTTATCAGAACAGTGGAGGACTGTCTGCTAGCAATGGAGAGGGCGAGAGAGGAGCAGGCACAGGACAATCAGCAGACGGCTGTAACGCCAAAGAAGGGTAAAACGGATGACCCGGAAGCGAACCTCAACTGGATGGTCGTTAGTCAGAAGATGGGTGGGACACGAAGCCGCATCCAGTGCATGGCGAAGTGGCAACAGCTCATCAAGCGGCGAGACAATCCTCCTGTCAACTCTATACACAAGACTCCTGAAGTCGATGCGGGACAGGGGTCGTGGCGGGTGAAGTGTGGGTTGAGCAACTACAACAAGATGCTGCCGGGCGACAAGCTCGCAATCCTACAGGAGATCGCAAGATCGGAGGCTGCCAGTGAGGACAATGTGCCTTGGCATCTCATTCGTCTCCAGAATCCGGACAGTAGGTGGACAATCATGGACAAGAAGGTTGCGTGGATGGAGATGAGGAAGTTGGTTAAGCCGCGCGAAGATCTGAAGGAGCTGTTGGAGGCTATTGAGAAGCGTCTACGAAAGATCTATCCGGAACAGCTGGATCAATTCTATCGTGGCGATACCCATAAGGGCAGATACAAGACGAAGCAACGGCGCAAAAGCAAAGAGGTTGTTAGCGATGACGAGTCAGCTGAGGAGGAGAACGGTGAGCCAGATGATAGTATTGAAGGATAGCGCGCGCCGGCTTCGAGCGTCCAGTGGGTCCCTAAAGTGGCTCCGTGCCCGGCGGTGATGATGGGCGAGGAGGGTGAGTAAGTATGCTCGAACGAGGGTAGCTGGTCTTGCTCCAACCGGCTGAGTGGACATCATGGGGTTCTCGGAAGGGAGAAAATGCTACTGGCTTTTAAGGTTTTATACGAGATGCTCCAACAGGCTATGTCTGGCTTCCTGTCAGAAGTATAAAGGCTCCGCTTGCACTAAAACTGCTCCTTTGTTCTTGTATATTACCACTAAAAGAGAGTAATGAGACTCGAGGCCATCTGTGTACGAAAGCAGTGCCAGGACGTATCGTAACAGTGTTTGATATATGATTCGATGATCTGCGTAGCGCAGGGGATGTTTGTTGGAGCACCACATCCCAATATGATCGACGCTGCGTGGATAGACTTGTGGAGAACAAATTGCTACGAACGCCATCTCAATATTGTTTCCTGAATAGAGACGAAACGTGCTTGCGTAGGCGAGCGGTTCGTACCAAGCTGGCTGTTGTCTGAATCCAATAGCACCGCCGGTTGCTGATGCCTACCTCATTTATATCACCTCGAGTACTCGCACTTGTGAAGCTCCAAAGTAGCACAACCAACTCGCTGAACCTTTTGCTCCCCGCTTTACTAAGCTCAACGCCGCCGACATGTCCGTGTCGTCAGGTGAGTATAGCAAGTCCACCGCGCTGGCCGGGCACGAAATACTGAAGCTCTGCAGAAGCCATATGGGCCGCCTCGCCCACGACCACACGCGGCCAGCCTACACCGCTCTCTTCAGACCCAAAGGGCGAGAGAATAGCTTATGCTGTGGGTACCGGCACCTCCATCGATGCCTGCCTTTCAGAGCATCCGCCCCAAACTACCCGCCAGCTTGAATCGCACCACCATCCACTCACCTCCAGCATGAGCTGATATGTTGGTCACAGTCCAACAAGTCAATCTTCCTCCGCAACATCGACAACCCTGCAGTCAGCAAGCAATACACATCTCATACAACCCAAACCACTGTTGCTCGCTTCGCGCCCTCGGGCTACTATGTAGCAAGCGGAGATGTTTCTGGGACGGTGCGCGTATGGGACTGTGTGGGGGAGGGCGCTACCAAAGGCAGGTAGATAAGCTGTACACGTTCGAGTCCCCGCCGGCAAAGTGTTAAAACAAGCCTCAACCAAGGCGAGGGCTCGTTGTTCCTGCTGCTGCACTATCTAACGCGTTGTTCAATCAGGCGAATATCATATAATAGCTGGCCGCATAAACGACCTCTCCTGGGATGGCGACTCCCAGCGCATAATCGCGGTCGGCGACGGCAAGGAACGCTTCGGCCACTGCATAACCGCTGACAGCGGCAACAGTGTCGGCGAGATATCTGGGCACTCTTCTCAGATTAATTGCGTTCACATCCGGCAGCAACGCCCCCTGCGCGCGGCGACCGGTAGCGATGATACCAGCCTCGTCTTCTACCACGGAGCACCGTTCAAATTCAACACAAGTCTAAGAGGGCAGCACAACAAGTTTATCTTCGGAACGGCTTTCAGTCCTGACGGCGCGAGTCTGGTCAGCGTCGGTAGTGACAGGAGAATCTGGCTTTACGACGGCAAGACGGGCGAGGCCAGGACTCAAATCGGCGAGGGTGTTCACACGGGCAGCATATTCGGCGTGTCCTGGGCCAAGGACTCGAAACGCTTCGTTACCGCCTCAGCGGACCAAACTGTTCGCATCTGGGACGCCGAAGCTGGCAAAGCAGTCCAAACATGGCGCATGGGCGACGAGGGCGTGACCAGCATAGCTCACCAGCAGGTTGGCGTCGTATGGCCCTCCGGCCGCAGCGACGGGCTGGTCGTAAGCGTCGATCTAGACGGCAACCTCAACTACCTCGTGGACGGGACACCGAAGCCAACTCGGGTTATCCAAGGACACCAGAAAAATATCACAGCCGCAGGCCTCGTCAGCCGGTCTTCCACTCTCTTCACGGGCAGTTACGAAGGCCGCATTTGCGCCTGGGACATCTCTTCCGGTGCCGCCTCCACCGTTTCGGGAGACGCTCACACAAACTACGTCGCCGGCTTCTCCGCCTCTCCGGATGATGACAGTATCTACAGTGTCGGCTGGGACGACACATTGCGCTCTGCATCCACATCCATAACGCCACCGTCCTACAGCTCATCTCCCGTGTCGCTATCCACCCAGCCTAAAGGTCTCGCCTGCGCATCAGGCTTCAACGTGTTAGTGGCATCATCCGACGGAATAACTGCCTACAAGAACAGTCTCAAAGCTTCCACCACGGACACAAAATTCTCACCCACCGCCATCGCCGCGCACGGCACCATCGTGGCGGTGGGTGGCGACGACAGAATCACCCACCTATACACTCTGTCCGCGGACTCAAGTCTGTCGCCCACAGGCCCCGAAGACGGGCTTCGGCGCGCTACCGCTGCCATTACGGCCCTGGCATTCTCGTCCAATGGCGCATACTTGGCCGCTGGAACTGGCAATGGCAAAATTATCGTCTACAGCACCAGTGACTGGAGTATTGCCACCGATCGCTGGTCGGCGCATACGGCGAGGATAACTAGCATCGCCTGGGACCCTCTATCCAAGCTCGCCGCGAGTGGCAGCCTAGATACTAATGTGTTTTTCTGGAGCTTGGAGAATCCGGGGAAGAGGACGAAGGCTGGGAACGCGCATAAGGATGGAGTCACCGGTGTTGTTTGGGTAGAGGAGAACAAGGTGCTGTCAACGGGTGGCGATGCTACCGTTAAAGCGTGGAAGGTCGAAGGCCTGGCATGAGATAAGGATTTTGCAGTTGATGTCGCAGCACAACTCCGCGCTAGTCGCAAAGGCTGAGGAACAGCGAAGATGTTTAGCGTCATACCGTGTTTGTTGAGAATGGGATAGAACCTTGAGGGCGAGTAGACATCATGACACTACTGCGATAGGCGAAGGGCGTTCAAATCAAGGCAAAGCCGCCCGGCGAATAGACAGTGCGCCGCAAAATTCTGATCTTCCGCCGTACATGACCGGTATGCTTAGGGTCTACTTCACCCTCTGGCATCGTGAAACTTTACGTTAACCTCTGAGACCGATGACAGACATACCCAGTATTGATGGCATCAACTCTATATCTAACGCTGCGGCATCTCATACATTATATGCTTTCCTCAAATTGCCGCACCAGCAATCCCTGGTCTCTCAGATACTCCTTGACCTGTTTGACTGTATATTCCCCTCTGTGAAACTATACCTCAGTGTTAGCCCCGGAAACAACATAGAACCGTATCTCATCGAAGACATACCATTCCAGCACCCAGAGCGGCATCGGTCGTTGTCTTTGCAAACACCTCACCAAAGTGACCAGGATTTCCAGCCCCACTGCTTGCAATTACAGGAATCTTAATAGACGCCTTGACATCCCTGATCAACTCCAGATCAAATCCACTGTTCGTGCCGTCTTTGTCGATGCAATTCAGTAGTATTTCCCCGGCGCCCATTGCCTCCACAGCTGTGACGAGTTGATGCACATCGAAGTCTCGACCTTCTCGGCCACCTTTGACAGTGCACTGGTACCAGCAGTACTCTTCGCCGTTTGGGCCGGGAACGGATGTGCGGATGGTGTGATGGGGTGTTGAGTCCTGCGAGGACACGTACACCCTTCGAGGATCGACTGAGACGACAACGGCTTGGTTACCGTAGGCGCGGGTGATGGTCTCGATGGCAGTCGTCCCGGACAACTGTTTGCTACGGGCGAAATATTCTTCTGCGGCCGTGACGGCTTCAGAGCCGATGCTTACTTTGTCTGCCCCGCTTTTGAAGTACAACGTGGCGACTTCAAGTGCGGATATTTTGGTTCCGTCCGTATCTTGGGTGTCTCGTATGCCGCCACCGATCGTGAGAGGGACGAAAACGGTCTCGGATGTGCGCCGCAGGATCTCGAGCATCGGTGTGTCTGCGACGGGACAATTGCGGAAGGATGTGATGTTTAGGAAGGTCACTTCGTCCGCGCCTTGCTCGTAGTACTTGCGTGCCATATCGACCGGTTTGCCGAGATTCCGCACTGCGCCGCCAGCACTGACGCCGTCTTTCTCGCGAACGTCATACTGGTCTCCCTTCGTGACGACCAAGTCTCCGTTGTCGTTTGTGCGGACATCGAGGCAGGCAATTACGCGACGGGTAAGACCTTCTTTAGCCGCTTCCGCCTCAGGTCTCGAAGAGAGCTTTTCGGATTTCCTGCCATTGAGGAAAGCTCGTAAGACGCGAAGGCCAGCCGCGCCGGACTTCTCAGGATGGAACTGCGTAGCAAGCACATTGTCCTTCGCTATGGCGCCCACAAACTTCTCGTCTCCATAGCGCGCGGTTGCGACGCTCCACCCGGCAGCCTCAAGCTCGCCTTCCCGGTACGGCGCGGCATAGGAATGGACATAGTAGTACTTGCTATCCGGCCGCAATCCATATAGGCTCTCTTCCGCCACCTGGCCTGTTGCCGAGGTGTTTGCTGAGTTCCAGCCTATGTGCGGCACGCTCTTGTCCCGGTCGTCGAAGCGCTTCAGTTGCCCGGGAATCAAGCCGAAGCCTGGTACGGCGAGGTTCTCCTCGGAGCCTTCGAACAGCGCTTGCAATCCGACGCAGATTCCCATGAACGACTTGCCGGCGGCAATGTGTGCTTTGATGGGCTCGACGTAGCCGGCCGACGCGAATTGGGTGAGGCAGTGGCCGAAGTGGCCGACGCCGGGGAGGATGAGTTTCTACATGGGCGTCTGTCAGGATCAGTCGATTGTCTTACGATTGCGTTCCTGTAGGGCCATACTTCAGCTTTTGACACGTCGGCTGGCGACTTGATCCACTCGACCGTGTAGCCTAGCTTTTCTATCGCGTTGACGAGGGAGCGGACGTTGCCGGCCACATAATCCAGCAAGTGGACGGTCGGCATGGTGCTTTTGGATAGTAGGACAGAAAGGCCAGGAGCGCCTCAAAGTCCGCGTAGATCAGATGGAGGAGAAGATGGCAGGCCTCGATTGTGAGATATACGGGAATTCGGCCTGTTGATGAGTCAACGTGGTGGAGTGGTGAGTGGTGAGTGGTGGAGCACATGGAGATGCCCCTCCAAAGGCGGTGACAGGAACAAAATTTCAGCCCTACGGCGCCGCAACTCCAGAAAATCCATCACGACCAACTTCCTCCGCCATCCCAAACCCCTCACGCACCTCACTCTCTCCCCCTCAGGCGACAAAATGGTCCGCAGACTCAAGCACCACGAGCAAAAGCTCCTCCGCAAGGTCGACTTCACCACCTACAAATCCGATAACCGGCACCGCGATGCCGTCGTCCTGCGTCGTTACGCCATCTCCAAGCCCTCGGACTACACATCTTACAACCGCCTCTGTGGCTCCCTACGGCAGCTTGCGCATCGAATCGCCAACCTCGATCCCTCCGATCCGGTGCGCCGTAAGCAGGAGGACTTGCTACTGGGAAAGCTGTGGGACATGGGCATCCTGGGCACCGGCGGTGGAGGCAAAGGCAAGCTGAGCGATGTGGAACACAAAGTCACCGTGTCGGCGTTTGCGAGGAGGAGGTTGGGTGTGGTCATGACGCGGCTGCGAATGGCGGACACGGTTCAGGCGGCGAATAAGTTCGTAGAGCAGGGCCATGTCAGGGTGGGGACCGAAGTGGTGACGGACACGGCATATCTGGTGACAAGGTGAGCCAGTGGATTATGAGAAACACTGGAGGGAAATCGAGCCGTGGCTTACACTTGGCACAGGGACATGGAAGATTGGGTGACGTGGGTGGACTCCTCCAAGATCAAGCGGAATGTCCTGAAATATCGCGACAAGCTGGACGACTTTGATCTTGGAATGGCTTGAGGTACGATTTGGTTTCAGCGAGCATCCGTTCCGGCCTATGGCGTTTGAGTGGGTTTGCAGCATTTACTGGCGCTGGAGCTGGGTCTCGCTTTTGGACGAAGCATCGGCGGTACCTTCCGTGCCTTGTCGACATCGGAAGTGGAGAGTACGGAAGCAGAACTGGCGCAACTCTTTTGCGGGTGCAGCATTACCTGCTTCGTAAGTTAGCGGAGCCCGTATACATCGCTGCTGCCATTCCAAGACCGTGCTTCCCTCATTCATACCCTTCAGGATGTTCCTCCATCGCCGTAGATCTCAACAGGGTCATCCACCGTATCTCTGTCTCCAATTCCCATCAAATTCCAACGACTGTGCATACAAGAGCGACATCAACCTCAAGATGCCCTTCTCCGCTCACCTGAAGGCCTCCTGTGAAGCGATGCTCAAAGGTGCGTCCAATATCCTGTGTCCAACCCCTCACCCAAGGATACAACTGAGTTGGCCTAGTTCGCAACGCTGAGAAATGCACGGCCTACGGCCTCCAACTGAAAACACGGAAAACAATCCGCGAGGAAGCGCGGATGAATCACCTGACAAAGAAGATCAGTGACTCGAAGAAGACACGGGAGATCGAGTCGACGCTACAACAACGGCCTCGTGCATCGATCGACCGCTCTCGGTTTCCCATCTCGACTCGCGTTAGGGGCTCGGTGCGCTCGTGGGCTTCGAAAGGTCTCCATGGTGTTTGACGAGAGGCAGAGCTGTTGGGAGCTTGGAGCGATGATACCATTGGTAAGTGACGCTTGCTGGCATTGCTCTCCACACTGAGGGAATGTTTGAGGTGCTGGCAACAATGCAGCGTTAAGGGTAACACGAAGGCTTTCAATAGACTGAAGTAGAGGGGTTTACAGTTGGTGTTTGTCGCAACAGTCCTCGCGAGGTGGAACCTGGATTGGCAAGACGGGAGGTTCAAAGCATGTCTCTTGGATAGTCCCCTGCAATTGGAACGAGGCTTTTACAAGTCTCTAAGTCATGTCGCAACATATTCACTCATCCTCTTCTGACGCGAAACTTGTTACCGCCTTCTCCCTTTGAAAAACTTCCTCAACCCGCTCGATACTTCACTAACACCACCAGCCTGCACCAGGCTTTCCTTTATCCAGCCCGGCAACTTTGCCTGTATCCTGTCCATGGCGTACCTCCTATCAATCAGAAGTATGCTGGCGTAATCTTCTTTATGCCTTATCGCGCGCCCAATGCACTGGTTCACAGCTCTAATGCAAGTGTTCTCGTAGAAGTCCCTGGCCGCCTCTTTCCCGTTCACCTTTGTCCCTCCGGTCGGGCCAGGAGGTTTGTTGGCGATATATTCCATCCGGGCCTTCCACTCAGCGCTATGCGGATTGGGAAAGGGTAACCCAATAACCATAACACCGCGGCCCAGGGCATCCGAGAAGTTGATGCCTTCACTCAGACTACCACCAATCACGGCAAGAAGGAGGGCACCACGGCCAGGGGTGACCGGAGAGGTGACGGCTGAACTGTAGGCGGTGAGCAGGGAGTCTGCTTTGGCTTGACTTTCGGACGAGCGGTTGGAGTTGGAGGAAGTGGTTGAAGGACTTTGACTGGCGCTATTGGGAGACTCGTAGAAGATCGGCTTGATAGCTATAAGGGCCTCGTAGAGAGTCTTGCCATACTTCATAACCGTTGATGGAGGTGCCGCGCGCTTCCAGACTGCAATGCACGTCCCGAGGTAAGCGTATCCAGGAAAGAATATCACTACGCCGTCAGGTATGTTCTGAATAAAAGACAGAACAGCAAGACCGAGGTCGACGATCATCTTCTCGGAGCTTCTCTTCTCGAAGGTAAAGTCGAAGACCACCCCACTTGGGCCCTGCTCCACAGCCGAGGCGAAAAGGCTGCTAGCTGGTATGACATGACCGCAAGAGAGTGTCGTGATGCGGGATGGTGGGAGATAAGAGAAGAGATGCTGCTCGTAGTCGCTCATGGGAGACATTGTACCACCAGCCAAAATCACCGCTCGAGCTTGCTCAACGATCTCTCTGAAATGGTGTGTTGGGTCCAAGAGCATGTACTTCAGCCACAGGCTACCGTCTTCTCCTAACCTTGAGTAAAAGAAGCGTCCCTCTGCCGAGGGGTTCATCAATGCGGCAAGGAAGCCTTGAACATGTGTTAAGACCGGTACAGTCTTCTCATGAGTTGCCGTCTTTTTCGTTCCTGGATGGTGTTCGGCATCTGCGGACTTGTTCTGCTGTTCCGCGTACACGATGTACCCATCAACCTTTCGGGCTAGTTTGCTTTCTTGCAGATAGCGCATCAGCTTATACAGGTTAATCTGGTCGACACCCTTGCCGCCCATGAGGTCCCCAGGCTGAATAATACCCTCCAGATCCTTGGCGACAGATGCCTTTGTCTGGAGGTAGCTGGTCAACGAATCAAGCAACCTGACGATCTGCGTAACGTAAACGCGGTTCTTGCCTTTCAAGCGATTGCGAAACTTCTGAAGGTAGATTCCTAGCTGTGCTCGTGCTCGCTGCAGCTGGCTGTGAGAGACGGAAATTGAATAGATTCCCGTAATAGCGTCCATGACATTGTGTGCCTCGTCGATGATGATGACATGGCCTTTGAGAGAAAGCCCTAGAGATTCGCGAGCGGACTTCTGTAGGAGAAGTGGATACGGGAGGGTAACAATCTGGGTTGAACGTCAACCGAAGTCACACAAGTTACGAGTACAGTTATCCTCGCACCTCACAGGGCTTCACCGCTGATCTAGACGCATAGTAAGGACATATGTCCAGTCTCTTTCCAAGCACTCCGAGATCCTCGATGTCCCGAATTTTTGCAAGAGCATGGTCGCGGAAGTCGTTGACGACGGCTTCAGTCTCCTTTCTCGGCAGATACGGGCACCTGTCGTGCGCTGGCGTCTTTGGCTGCTGAAGTTCGAGACATCTTTCGTTGATCGCCGTTGCGCTGGTGAGCTTGTTGACCTTTTGGTTGATGCACAAGTTCTTCCTTGATCCGAGGGTAAGATGCTTGAATCCCTCCTCAAGGTGCACTTGAGCAGCTGGCCCACAGGATAGTTGCTCATGAGATTCCATGGTCAGCGCTGGCGGCATCTTGACACGGTTCAGCTCACCCGCAAACTGTGTAAGCTGCGAGTGCGTTCTTGAGCAATAGAAAATCTTGAGCTCGTCCATCGCCTCGGTGTCTTCTGTGCTTGCTCCTGCAGTGGGCATCCCCAGCTTGCTCATCAACGCTTGAGTCTCGGCGGAAAGCCCATGATCTGCGTTTGTAGCGGCGTCCGCTTTCCGATTTGCATGGTCATCGCTCTCGTAGTCCTCGAGGGTAAATCGGGCTTGGTCATCTTCCGAGACGAATGCGCTCGTAGCCGTCCTCTGCTTCTATGAGTGTCCGGTGTAAAAGCAAGAAACGGATGAATGTTGGTACCTGTTTTTTGCGCGTCGGCTCCCCGTTCTCGTACCGCTCCTTGAGCCGCTTCTCTTTGGCACGAATTTTCGCGAGACGAGCTTCCAGGTCAGCACGCTCTCGTGACGCCGCCTGACGCTTTTGTTCGCGAGCATGCTCTATGATCCATTCCGGCTCGCCGTCATCCGCTGTTTCGGCTAAGAGGTCCTCCTCGAACGCCTTCCTTTGGTGGTCACGCAGCCACGTCAGAGAACCGCAGATCAGGCTTAGAGATTTCCCCTGGTTGCGCTGTGTTAGTGTCTCAGAAAATGGAAAACGTTGAGTATGTTGCGGAATGGAACACAGAGCATGGAGGGACTGAAGAAGGTGGAATGCTACTGTTCGAGCCCACAATACAGAACGATGGCCATACCATCTGCTAGATGTTCTTCAACGCGATGGTTTTCTACATTGCCCTCGGGCCATACTCGTTCGCCAATGTGGGTTCAGTAGCGACGGTTGCGACCCATTCGCTTCAGTCAAGGCATGAAGTCGGCCACCGACTCAGGACACATTGCTGAGAGGCATGTAAACCTTCGTATCTGGAACATTGACATCACTCTGGTAGGAAGTATCAAGGCCAGTGATGCCAATCGCCGGACTGTCTCGAGGCAGCTTCTGCATTGGGTGAAGCGAAAGAGCAATATGTTACTTGGATATGAGCCTGTCCATTCGGCTGGGATCCGCTCGGTCCTCTCTCTTTGAAATGCGGGTAGGTAAAGCGAGAAAATAATCTTACCGTGCCTGTTTATTATCAGCGAAGCCCAGTAAGCTGCTTCTTTTCGGCCTTACTCACCCGTAGGTGACTCAAATATGCCTACTTTGCCCTCCTCGATGCAGTCGTACAACGCGCTCATGAATCGCTTCTGGATGTCATACGGCTGGTAGGGGTGGTGAAAGTCGCGCTCTTGACTAACTGTCGATGCCACCTCCGGCAGTGGCGCCATGGTGGCTACGGTGGTGCCCTTGGAGAAGCAGGTGCAGCGGGAGGACGCGTCGTGTTTCACTTCGGGACGCGTCGGATAGAGTGAGATATTCTCACCTAAGCTTCAGCTGGGGAAGCCATGGCCACCGTTCCTCCCTCGTAAGTCACGTCCTCCGTCAGTCAACATTCGAACAAACAGACCTAGATTGGTCGCGGACTGATGTTTTACCAGAGACGTGGTTACAGGATGCAGGGGTGCACGAACCGACCTTGTGCGGCCCGCCTTCCATGCAAATATCTGCATGGCGGCTCAGGCACCTGCCCGAAGCAACTCTTTGCACGAAATCTTAAGGTCGCATCCAAGGTCTGGGCTTCGCGGGATCCTCAGGCAAGACGACGGCTCACGCCGTAGAACTGGCATCCTGCATAACTCCTTTTGTTTGTTTCGAGGATATGACGATCTCGCTCCTTGAAACACCGGCAAGCCCTACGCCCACAGCGACCTTCCGCTCGTCTCAGCAAGCGACTGCAAAATCTTCTGCTGCAGAGGGTGGCCGGCTTGTGAGGCATTCTGTACCACCTGCTCATGCGCCCCATCCTTGACAAGCGTCAATAGACGTATCACCTCTGCTAGTAGACATCACGATCTCAATAGTACTGAGCTTAGGCAGCCACTAAGTGTCGCGCTGCGGCGCAGTACCAAACTTTCCCATCTACGACCGATAGGAGATATGTCGATACCACTGACATCTACACACAAAAGAATCAACACTGACGTCATGATTGAGTAGCCTTCGCTCAGGCGTTTCACATCTACAATCCCTTCAAAGTTATCACAAGCATGGTAGGGTCGGTACGGAGGCCCTGTCAGACAGAGAACCGTCCTTGCCAGTTTCGAATGCCGAAGGCTGGTTTTCTTGGCAGGAGCTGCTCAGTGGCACCTGGACTCTAACTCTAGGCACCACGGCCACGAGTAGAGCGTTCAATGTGAGTCATGCCCTAGATATTAAGGACTAAGATCGCAGATACTAGACCCTTGGTTGCACGGCAGGTCCGGGGTCCTCCATGTCCTTCTCAGTTTCAAGCAGGATTTCATATTCAACTTCTGGGATTCGGCTTTGAGAAGTCTAGTAACGAGACGCCTAATTACTCCCATACCATTGCTTTTAGTATATAAGATTGTCTTTTCTGTTGTTGAACGCCCTCTTTTTGCTGTAACAGCAGACATACTTACCAATCGAACTATTCTACTGCCCTTGTTAATTGTCAATCTCTTGAAGATTTGCCTCTTGAAGATTTGCCAGTTGCGCAGAGCTTCAAAGATGACTGGCGACCAAGGAATGAAAATCACGCTGCGGCGCGGTGTGGCCATCGCAGTATACGGTCTGCTTGCCGTAGCCGGACAGGTTTTTGCAGCCGACTCTTCCGGAGAGGACCTTCCTATAGGCGACTTCGGCCCATGGAAGCAGGTTTTCACGGAAGACTTCCTCCTCGACGCGGCGCTAGGCGAGTTCGTAGCCAAGTACGACGACAAATGGAAAGCACGGGGTGCAAACTGGGACTTCGATCAGAGAAATCCGGGCCAGGTACCCGTCGCCGACACCTCCCGTAGAGGCATCTACTCTCCGGCGAACACTCTGTCGGTCTCCAGTGGCGTGTTGGACATCGCCCCGCACAAGGGCGACGGCCCCCAGTTCGGCCCGGATGGCAGACTTGAGCAGAACGAATGGCCAGAGCTGGTAGACCTGCCGTGGGAGCAGGAACGGCCATACGTTGCCGCTCTTACGCCTCGCGTCCTGGGTCCTGACGGCGAGATGACTTACGGCCGCTTCACGGTCCGCCTCAAAGTCGAATACCCGGAAGACAACCCCGCCGGCGGCGAAGGCTACAAGATCGCCAACCTGTTGTGGCCCAAGAGCGACTTGTGGCCGGATGACGGCGAGATTGACTACCCCGAGGGCGATTTCTCAGACAACAGCTTCTCGGCATTCCACCACTATACGTGCGATGCCACGAAGCCTAGCCCGGACGAATCCTCGGAGTGTGACAAGTTCCGCTCGCAGGAGCTGCCGTGGCAGGACGGATTTTACAACATTGCGAACTTCTCGAGCTGGCATACTGCTACTATTGAGTGGATGCCCGACCGCATCAACTTCCTTCTCGACGGCGAGCTCGCAGAGACTCGAGAAACAAATCCGACGGACGCGACTACGACCACGAGGGTGCCGAACAAGCCGATGTATCACGTGATGCAGATAGAGACGGAGCTCAACAATGACTATATTCCGGTTGAGTCGAGGCCACACATCAAAGTTGCCTGGATGTCGATCTGGAAGTACGAGCCTTAGGCTACTGTCTGAAAAAAGATGCATAGTCGGTATTACTTATATATTGATCCATTCAGGCTCTTTCCCTTGTATCTTGTATTTGCTCGATGAATTTTAGTCGATGGAAAGAAGAGTAATACGATGCAATTAACTACTTAAGTGTTACATCGGCAAAAGTTTTCGTCACATCTGATGCATCAGATGTGGCTCTAAGGCCTCAGACGTGCAGAGCTCATATCCAGCTCGCGAGCCGCTCGCGATCTGGTCGATTACCCCGCGTACCCGGCGTGTGTCACGGTTGCAGGATTCACCGCTGCACCACCGCGCATAGAACTAAAAGGTCACAGTTTCGTCCGAACCCAGACGAAACGAGGTGAATCACTATATATCCTCACAGCGTGCTCGGCGTGCTCGAGCTTTTCGTGCTTCTCGTGCTTCTCGTGCTACCTAGTGTAGCCGGTAGATAGTCTGCAGATAGCTTTTTGGCATTACGAAGCATATTCTGACTTAGTCATTAGCCGACAAGTAATAGACGCGTCTGCTGAACCAACTAGATCTTGTACTGTAACAAGAGATTCCCTGTAACCTGTAAAAGGCGTGCGCTAACCACTAGCCGCACGAGGATCCTGTAGTAGTCCCTTCTGCTTGAGCCTTTGTTTCAGACCAATGGAGTTATTGACAAGGGTATTTGCAGATGACGGCGCGAGGGTGGCAGTGCAGTCAGCTCGAAGCGGGGAAGCTTCATCGACGTCTACCTTCATGCGCGTCCGTCTTTAAATCAGCTCTCATCATACTGAAGCCAAGTTGTCTCCTGTGGAAGGGCCACTGCCCTATCATAGAAATGGACTGACAATAGGGTTATCAAGAGGGGATCGTATAAGCGGACTGATGAGACTTACATCTGAGAATGCCGCGATGCAAGCTCAAAGGTCAAGGGCAAGTCACCCTAAAGTCAGGACGGGCTGTATCACTTGCAAGTAAGTCTATTCCAGCTTTGGATGATCTACCTACTTATCATAGACAGAATAAGACGTATCAAATGCGATGAGCGAAAGCCCTACTGTCATAGGTAACCATCCTTGAACCATTGACGCATGCATAGCGTATAAAATCTACTGGCCAGGTTGCTTTCGGTCTTGCACTGACCAACTTCCTCGATCGGGCTTACATACCTTCTAGAACGCGTTGAGTGTTGCAACTGCGGCAGCGCTGACAGTTCCTATAGATGCACCAGCACTGGACGGAAATGTGATGGCTATGGAGCACGCTATCAGCCTTCACAGAACCTTTGTTCAGCGCACAATGCTGGACCAAATAAGCAGCTCCCAAGCTTCTCGATATCAGCGGAGGAGCTGCAATCACTCGAGTTCTTTCACAAATGTACTGCTCCGCAGCTCTCGGGATATTTCGACGCTCCATTCTGGAGCGGTCTTATACTCCAGCTTGGTCACGTAAAACCACCAATACGACACGCGATGATGGCTATTGGCTCTTTACACCGCGATCAATGTGAAGCTTTGGAAAGCCGCTACGGAAGCCTGCCTGCCACCGACAGCAACTTTGCTCTACATCATCACAATCAAGCCATGAAGCATCTTGTCGAGCACCTCTCCCAAGATCGAGAGTCAATTCAAATCCCTCTGACGATGTGCATTCTCTTCATTTGTCTCGAGTTTCTCCGAAGCGACATTGATCGCGCTATGATGCATATGCAAAGTGGCTTTGCTATCCTTGGGACCCGGAAGGCCTGGGCTCTCGATAGCCGTGGAAGGAACGATGTCACCATGGGACATCTAACATCTGCTTTTTCACGTTTGAAAGTCCTGTCAACGCTTTTCGGAAGACCGACGCAGTATGTCTTCACGAACGTAAAATTGGGAGAGCCATACCTCAATACGTGCGATGCATTCACAAGCATTCCTCAGGCAAGGGCGGAGTTGGTCAATCTAATGAACTCCAGTCTGCTGTTTACGAATGCTACCTGCGAGGTGAAATACAGTTTCGACATTGATGTGGGTATCAAAGAAATTGAAGAGCAGATCCGACTCGAGGCTCTGTTGGACCGATGGCATACAGCGTTCCAATCATTAGTAGCATCGCAGCCTGACATGACCGTGGCAGAACATGACGGATGTCGAATGCTTCTTATATATCATAAGGTCACATGTGTATGGCTGTCTACAGCTCTGGCTCCTAACGAAACGGCCTTTGACGACCACTCTACGGTCTTCGAGCAAGTCATCAATCTAGCGGCTACTCTACTCAGGACATCTACTTCCGCTTCACCAGCACCTTCGTCGGGCTTCTCTTTCGAAATGGGTCTTATCCCGCCGCTGTATTACACCGCCTTCAAATGCCGTATACCCTCGCTTCGGCGGCGAGCCATTTCGCTTCTTTCCGCCGCGCCACGAAGGGAAGGTCTGTGGGACGCATTTCGTGCGCAGAAAATTGCAGAGCGCATTGTGACAATTGAAGAGGCCGGTCTGGAAGATTCCGCAAAAACTTCATGCCCTCCAGAGGCAGCTCGTATCCATACCATAAATGAGCTCCCCGCTGATTTAACCCGCATACAAGATGCCGACATGAATCACCAGCATTCGCTTGCACACAGACATTTTGTCGCATTTCGAATGAAGCCAAACGGCTTGCAGGGAGCTTGGCACCTTCGCAACGAGTCTATCGACCTAGACATGCTTTCTTGTGGCACTTGTTCTGATAGGGTTCACAAAACTCCTACGCTGCAAGTCATGCATAGAAGTTGGTTCCAAATTCTCAGCGCTTGATGCAGACACCCAAGGCATGACCAATAGTGGAGTCGGCTCTAGGGCGTTGCATCTTCTGAAAGACTGTATGTGCAGGACCAAAGTGATTAGGAAGTACTCCAGCGGAAGGGGCGGCGGAATAGTAGAGAATCGATATCGTCACACATGCATTGCGTATACGACGAATATACGACATAACTGATCAAACGCTTTAGAGTAGGCTTAAAATGGTAACAGGATGTCCGAATAACAACGAATGTCTATGCGGATTCATGTTGAAGTCCATACTAAATCCGACTACTGTGGCCACTTGTTCTATCTGCATTTAGGGGCGTAGTGGTGGAGCAATAACCAAGCTCTACACATCGACACCGATGAAAACACAGGAATTGATAATAGCTTCAGCTAAAGCAGCTCAAACGGAGCCTGCTTTCGCTCGCGAACTGTCCCACGCGGAGGTAAAGTGCCATCTCTAAAGTAGGGCAGAATCCGTTGCGTTGCACACTCGCGGTCAAGAGTCGCCGAGTAGGATGTATGTCCTGTGCCATTGATAGCGAGTAGGCCTGATCTGGGAAAGGCCTCAGAGATGCTAAAAGCGCTACAACACAGCTTAGCACGCCACTAGCGCTGAGAACACGGATATAACAGAGGCATACTTTCGTAGAGGAGTAGTAGGATCGGCTATGTTTCCGACGAACAAGATAGGACTGCTGGTTTTTATGTTCTCAAACTTATCTGCAAGGCGTCGTAAGTTTAGTGCTCTATTATGGTCTCAGCAATGACTAACCCGTGTAGCGTTCCTTGGCCGGGAGTCCCGCGCCTATCGAGACAACGTCAGAACGGTCAAGTCCAGCAGCAGATGGCGATCTCACTTACCCAAACAAATGATTACTTGCCGAGAAGAGGGGCTGGCGAAGAATTTGCTCACTACCAGGTATTTGTTAAAGACGGCTTCAAGCTCACTTATCCCAAGTTTCTCCACTCCACCGCCGCTATCACTGCAGGCGATCGTGTAGGCTGCATTCGGGCTGTTCTTGACCCCGGTTATAGGGTCGAACAAAGGAATTCGACAGGTGAGCTTGCATTACCAACAATCTCTAGATATGCCTGAATCGCGGGACCTGCGGCCCTGTTATAAACCTCGGCGGTGACGCTCGCCAGCAGAGCGAAGGTTTCTCCTGGTTGATAAAGAGCACTGTCTCCTAAGAGAGCCAAAGCGGTGTTCTGATGAGTCCAAAACCCGGGACCGGAAGCGGTTTCTCCAAAATTCGCCGGTCGGCCTCGAAGAATCGGTCCCGTATCTCTTCTGGGTTACTATACCAGAAGGCACACTTATCCGGCCCAGCATCAAAGCAAAATTGGAAGAAATCACTCAACGCAGTATGGACATCGCCGATATCGAGTTCTGGTAATTTCTCAGGCTTATACCAAGTATTGAAGTCCACAACACCTGTCTTGGTCAAAAGCAATGTCTCTTCACGAGAAAGGACCTCAGAAACCTCTTACCACCGAGCACCGTGCGATCTATCTTATCCCAAAACGAGGTGTTAGACAAGGCCTATGGGAGTGTGCAGGATTACAAACAGGGAAGAGTGCCGCATATATGGCACGGTGGCACTAAGTACGGAACCGTAAGAATATCCTCTTCAAACAGAAGTCAGCCTTTATACGTACTCTACCTCGGACGATAGACGAGGCTTACAGATAAGAGAGCTTATCCTACCCAAGAGCCTGTAAGACGTAGTCCATGTCTTTGGCCACATGCATAGTTCCGGCGTAGGAAATTAAGTCAGGAGTGACAAGGCCACAGTCGAGTCCAAGGCCCTTGCCGACGGCGTAACTCTTGCCGAGTGTTGGTGTACCCAGGCTGCGAGCCCGTAATGTCCTTGGACCGCTGGGTGAAAGCGAAATTTGTAGCGTCACAAGTTATTAGGGGAAAAGTAGACCCCACCGCTCTCGGAACAATGCCGGTTAGATCGGTGTCATTCCCAACCTGGGCACGGAGTAAAGCACCACTGTCTTCGCAGACGATGTACACGAAAGGGAGAACCGTGGGGAAACCTTTAAAGGGAGCCATCGTACCAGCATGACGGCAAATCAAATATTACATTAGCAAACATCATCCTGTGGCTTGCTTTTACCCTTGTCGGCGAGAATTTGGCTAGCGGTCGGCCTGGTAATGTCCATGGAATTCTTCGGGGTGCAGCAGGCGACGCGTCGGCTGCTGCGGCCCAACCGCTGGAAAGAGGGGCATAGAATCGTCACGTAGAGGGTTCGGTCTGACTTCCAAGCTAGGAATCTAAGTACGAATGGCCCTATCACGCGGTTGACAAAAATACTTCTCAAGCACTCAGCTCCTCAGCCGGTTGGATGGTGTCTACGCTAGGATAAGGAAGCTCCTAATTTCGAGTATGTCGTAACCACTACAACCGATTCGACACTCTACGTGTCACGTTACGATAATTATCAAGATAGAGTGCGTGCGAATAGCCTCAACGCCGTTATCACTTTGTGAGACAGCCCACAGTCTGTCTTCCCCTTATTCATAAAACTAGTAGGTTATAAGACCAAGCTCTCATTCAGATATGAAGCAATCCGTGAAAGACTCACGTGTACTGCTACAAATCCAAATCCTTTCCCGAATATGCTGTTCTCAGTTGGATTAGACGCGCTTTTGGAAAACTTCCATAAGAGCATCCAAGAATGGACCAATCCGAAAGCCATTCGATAGACCTGTGCCAGTTTCCCCACGGAAAGCTTGTTTGCGGCCACCTCAGCGCATGCAAGACCAAAGAGGTTTGCTCTGAATCGACTATACCTGGCTGCTCTTGAGCGGAGATCTAATCTCCAACCCATCCCTCCGCAGAGCCATCGCATCATTGTGTTTCTTCTGACGAAAGGTCCATGTCGCGGCGTGCCAGCTACCCGAAAAAGCAAAACCCGGATGAAGAACTGAGAGCACAAGAGTAGCAAGGATAACCATTGGGCCCTCGAGCACCATGAACACGGCCTCGTTTTGCATAATGGGCCCATCGAAACCTTCCTGCAGCTCGGCAACACGGAAGACAGATCGAATGAAGATGAATATGGCGGCTGCCCAGAGGGCTGTAGAGGAGGGAATCAGTCATCACCACCACGACGTGGAGCTCATAGTGATCGAAAGACTCACAGTATTGGAACGCTTTGAACTTGAACGACGATCTCAACCATCCAAATCTTTGATCCTTCCTTCCATCTTGAACCCGACGCACCGTCCACACAAACTCGGCCCATAGCGCCATGAACAGCAGCAGCGAGAAGACCTGAAATGCCAATCCTGCGACCATGATGTGTACGCCGGTATCTCCATCCGCGTCGATCTCTGAGGTTGCAGCCAAGGCACCTCCGACGGATTGAAGTACGAGCGATAGGAAGTCGCAAGTAATGAAGACAATGGTGTATGTTCGCGGCCTCAGACGCGAGAGATTGGCACCGTAGACTGTAACTATACGGGCGAGGCAAAGGTATATGGAAGCAGCGAGGAAGGCCGGACCGAGAGTTAGCGGGATGAGATAGCTAAGATCGTTCGTCATTAAAGTTCACTCCGTCCACAGCCTCTATCAGCTTGGAAAACTTACAGCAAGAAAGCATCGAACTCGAATGGATTTTTGTTCAGCTTTAGTCGCCCAACGTATCCTAAGACTTCGAGCAGCAACCCGCAGAACATTCCGACTAGGAAACCCCAGGTACGGTACCAGACCCCTAGACCAGTCTGAAGAACGAGTAGCAGGGCGAAGATAACTAGATATGCCAAGTTCCCGGCATAAGTTGGGAAATAATCCAGATAGGCCCATTCGAGGGGACATGTCTGGATGGTGCAAACATCCGGCATGTCGGTAACATTCTGGGCCATTTTGCCAAAGTAAGGTTATGGGGGAAACGAGGTAGTGATAAGGGAGCTTGCCAAACGAGCCTTTCCCAGGAGCGGGTTAAAAACACCCAAGATTGGAAGGCCTGAACGCAAGAAGTAACAACGCGAAGATTGTTTAACAATGAGATTGACTAGAAGAGTGCGCGTCGCTGTGGTGTCTGGAACTATGCCAGGCACAGAGACTTTTATGTACCCCGGTAGCATCTTTACAATCACAACACAAACACCAAGGCCACGCAACTCGACGGCGGAGCCCCCTGACTGAAGGCCTGATGCGTCACTCCAAAGAGGAAGTTATATCGCAAGAAATCCTGCGAATGGTAAGTCGTTTACGAGCGGACCAACCAACCCATCATCTGCCCTGGCCACAGATCAGTTGGCGAAAGCCCTAGTGCACTAAGGCCGCGTAAGGCACGGCTGGAGTTCAGACTGGAGGCTTGATACTCAGGATGCAGAAACCGTGCTCAGGGTCCGTGAATACTAAAAGCGGTTAGTTATTTACGAGCAGGCGAATCAGAGCGAGGTTCGGTTAAAAAATGGTCGTATGGATTCTCTCCCTATAGACGCACAAGCAGTTCATGCCAGCTGTCAGGCGTAGATATCTAGAATGCTAGCAGATTATTGCCGTTGATATTTTCGGATAATGTCTTAAGTTGTGTAAAGCTCTTTTTTGGTTCGAATGCGAAAAGGATTGAGTCCCATGTAGTGAAAACGTGACATGTGTAGTGTGGAGGTAGCCACTGAGCTATCCCAAAGAGGCTAGACAGTTTCCTATCCCATTCGATGCGGCTTTTAGACTGGTGGCGTGGCCGTTACAGTCAGCTTATGTTGCATTAGAAGTGCTAGCGACCTGACTCGATCCGGAAACACAGCTAACTTGTTCTATAAACAAGAAGAGTATTCGACAGCAAGTAGATTTGAACAGCTAACTGCTCCACTTGAATATTCGTGTGCTGGCGCTAATATGACACAGTTTCTTATAGTACTACCCGGTATCCAGCATCCCGTGAATTAAAAAGAGGAATTGAGAATTTTCTGGTGACAGCCGCATGCAGAACCACTCGTCCAGGGCGGGAAGTTCCTACTCCAGATCAGGATCTCAGTCCGTCTCTTGCAGCCCTTTCCGGGTCTAACTACTTTGCGTCTAAGGGTGACACGGAAAAGTCGCGGCTACGCGAAAGTTGTCTTAAATTATTACCACTCAATAATACTATTATATAGATATATCTATATCAGAATTAATAGTATTCTATTCTTTCTACTACTAGCTATAAGTGTAGGCTATTTCATCTAGATTTAGGCGCGAATAGTAAGCTTTAATATAATGCGAATATAGATGAATTACTATAAGATGAGGTATCTTTAGCAATTTGGCGTAGTTATTATTTTTCCGTGCTACTCTTAGTCTCTTAGCTCTTTTATACAATCTAGAACTACAGGTACTCTCTTCTATAGCAGCCCGTAATACTTAGAGTCTATAGTTAGTTACTACTTATAGCTAAGCTTCGAGATTCTATATTCTCCTATAAGTAGAATAGAGCCGCAAACTAAAAAAATAGATATATTTTTAGGTTTTTAGTAGATATTTTTATATATATATAGTACTACTATAGTCTTAATTATAGTATTTAGGTTGGATTTAGCTACATTTATTTATAATATATAGATATTAGTAAATAATATATTCTATCTATAAAAGCGGCTCTTCTAGTAGAGCTAAGTACTAAGAATAGCTAATAAGTAAGTTTCTAGTTATATGCTTTCTATTAGTCTCCTATTACTAAGTAAGTTATGTTACTATTTATAGGTATTTAGGTTAAATCTAAATATTAATTTCGCATATAATCTTTAATTTATAAATTACCTAAATACTTTTTATTCTATTTGCCTTAAGATATAAGATTTTCTATGTATAGATACTAATAATTTAGATATTCTATTTTATTTTAACTTAGCTTAACTAATTCGCCTATATATTCTATTATCTATCTCCTTAATTACTAAAAAAATTCTATAGTATAGAAAGTTCTAGCTAGATAAAAGTAGTTATATAATCTTAATATTTACTTTCTACTTAAAGAAATCTAACTTTATTAGTATATTTATTTTATTAGCTTCTAGGTCTATAAAAGACTTAATATTAGTAGAGTTTAGAATAAAAGCTTCTAGAATTATACTTATATTTCTGATTTATCTAAAAGAAATATCTAGAGAAAGGGATTCTATCTAGTAGTTAAGTACCTTAGTATCTAATATATTTATTAATTAGATAAATACTTTATATAGAACTATAATTTATAACTAAGTTAGTAAGCTAATCTACTTCTTAGAATATATACTAATAAGTAATTTAGACTAGATCCGCTAGCCTAAGTATTCTATTAATAATTCTTTCTATAATTCTGCTATATAAGTCCCCTCCCTAAAACTTCTAGAGCTTAAAAGTAATACTAGTAAATGCTAGAATATAATTCTTAAATAAAATAATATTATATTTACTATATATATAGATTAAGTTAGGCTAAAGAGAAAGCTACTATTATTTTAGATAGTAGGTAATTATTTTATCTGACTTCTATTTAATTATTTAGTTTATTTAGTAATCTAGGGCCCTAAATTTATTACTAGGTAGCTATATATAAAGCTAATTATTAAACTAGATATAGATTAGAATAATAGGCTCGAAATCTAATTTAGTATATTTAACTATAAGCTAGTATAAATTAAATATAAATATATAGAGAGATAGAGGTATCTTCTATAGTATCTATTTTTAGGTAAATAATTACTCTTTATTATGAAAGTTAATCTCTCCGCTATTTATTCTAATAAAAGCTAATTCTAAAGAGTGGTTATTAAAGTAGAAAGGGAGTTTTATAATAATTTAGTTATTTTTAGTAGTAAAAAGAAACCCTTTATAGACTTTTTTCACGCTAGTAGTAGCTATAAAGTAGACTGTATTCTTATAAATTAATTCTATACTAGTAATCTACTTATCTTTATCTTTTAGATTATCTTATATAATATATAGAGAATTGATCTATAGAAACTATACACCTATCTTTTAATAGACCTTAATAGTATTACTAAGTGTACTTAGAAGGAGGTGAAATAGAATACTATATATATAAGTATTAATATTTAAATATATTATCTTAAACTATTAGTTGCTACTCTAGTAGTAGCTTAATATTATATACTTCACTTTTTCTTCTTTCTAACTGATATATTACCTTATTAGTTAATCTATATTATTAGCAATAGAAAATACTCTTCTTAGTAGTTTGAGATAAAATAGAATATTTTAGATAGTACTAATATTAATCTTAATATTTATCTAGCTATTTTTAGGTCTTATTAATAGCACTTTAGATTAACTTTTCAATACTTACCTTCTAGAAATAAGGTTTAAAAGAGGACTCTCTATAAATATTTTAATTTCTTCTAGTATATGTAGATTCTTTTTTATAAAGCTTTTACGCACCTTTAAATACTACTAATTCTAAATTAAGAGATAGATTAGACCTAATTTTCTTAGGTAATCTAAAAGCTAGATTCTTAAGATAGTTATCTCTTAGTAAATATCTTAAGTTATATATTTAGGGAGAAGATATAGTATCTAATTCTCTAGTATATACTTAAATTAGAGTATCTTTATTATAAATATCTTTCTAGTTATACTTAAGCATCTTTTAGATATAGAAGTAAATCGTATAGTATTCTTAGTACTCTTAAATTTTATACTAGTTATAATATTTATATTCCTATCTAATTAAACTATATAGACTATCTAACGGGCTAGTTATTTCTAAATATATTATATAATAGTCTTTATAGCTAGCAAACTTAATCCTCTAGCTTTTAATAATTAAGTGGTTATTAGTATTAGCAGCTTTCTACTTTACTATATTATTTCTATGAAGAAGAGATTAATAGTACCTAGAAACTAAAGTTTCTAATAGTAAATAATTAAAATATACTTGAAGTAGCTGATAGTTTAAGCCTAAACTAAGCTAGCTATACCTAAAACCTTTTAAACTTAGAGGTAGAAAAGTCTTTTAATATTTATAAAAAAAAGAAGCTACTAATTTCTATCTATATAATAGACTAAAAAATAACAATTTAATATATAGACTTCTATAGCATTAGTATTTATAAGAATACTCGCTTAACGTAGGTACTTAGCTTAGAAAGGCTTAGCTAGCTTAGTAAAGTAGATAGTATAAGATAAAGTAAAAGCTATCTAAAAAAGCTATCTAAAAGAGCCTCTAAATCTAGGCTAGATTGTAGTATACTATAGTAGTATATAAAAGTATTCTTAATAGTTTTACTCTTATAGTTTTAGCTAAAGCCTTAGTATGCGGTCTAATAATAAAAAGAAAATAGTAGTACTCTAAATTATAATTTAAACTTAATATTCCTCCAGTATTTAGATTAAATATTGTTCTAGAGTTGTATATCTCTATACTAGGGGTTTTTACTTATTCTACTTATAATTCTCTTAATTTCTTTGATAATATTCTATATATTAGCTAATTGATTAAATTCTACTACCTCTAGATACATTTATATTGTAATATTATATTTTCCTATCTTATTACTTATTATAAATAAACTATAGTCTACTATATCTCCTCTAGCTAATACTAATATATTCTTTCTCTTAAAGATTAGCTCTAAGTTACTATTATATTTTTCAAGCCTCTAGACTATTACTAAATTTATTACTAAAATTTAAAAGTAACTTATGTTATAATATAGATTTCTATATTAGCTTTTAGCTTTACATAATAAAATCTTTATATAGAGGATAATTCTAGACGATATTAATAAAAACCCTTTTATATACTATAGCTAGAATAAAATTGAAAATCTAGACTTATTTTAGTAACATAAGATAATTATAAGATTATCTTAAGTTAGTAGAATTAAGTTAATATATTGCTAATAACCTAAAAATTAAAGAAAGTAGTCTAGTTTAA